AAGCGATTATCAGTTGGCAGCCCATATGGGCTGCCATCGTCCCAGGAGCGCATGTTGTTGGCAGCCCATATGGGCGGCCATCGGCGTGAATGTGTTAAGGAAATTTCAGAGAACTACTGAAAAGTTTTTTTTTATCTTTTTTCTTAAAAGGAGTTAAGATTTTGGTCAAATTTCGCCACTATCTAGCCATAATTTTATTTGTGGTGCATCTAATCACGAAAGGGAACATGCCTCTTGGATGCTTCACGCTCTTCTGCACATGGTACTGAATTGAATGCAATATAAGATGCAGTAGTGTATTGATGTTGATGTGGATGAACTTTGCGATGTTTTTCAAAATTAGACTGTTTTCAGAAAATCCGAACTGGTACTTGCTGTTTTCTACAATGGATCCTAATAGGGTGGATGAGATCATAGCCGGAGTAATCATGCTGACAGTAAGTTTAGAACATACCTCTAAATCCATTACGGCCCTAAAGTGTGTTGATTGTACAGTGCTAAGTTGCGAAGTACAGTACTAATCATCTGCATTTTCTTCTGCCATCGCTTAGTTATCATTCTACTACAGGGGGGCCAATAAAAAAAGACATTTTGTCTCCAGACTCAAATGGATTTAATCACACTTTGCTCAGCTCAAAGCGTGTGCTCCCAACTTAGAATTGAAGAGCGCATTTCATTTCATAAGAAAATCTTCATAGTGGCCATCTACGTGGACGGCATCAGAAAAATTTGCCCCGGAAACATGGTGCTCGAGCTCAATGGGGTTCTCGACTGATCGTGTACCGTTACGACGGGTTCCGAAGGGCGGGTTCCGAGGGGTTTGCATAGTTAGAGCTAATGTCCCTAGGAAACTATCCCACGTTGAATCGATCCAAGAAATTATGTAAGAGCTGAAGCAGTTACTGTAGGCCTCCCTGAGCTCGACGACGGTGACAGATGACGTCATATTCTGAAGACGGTGAGGGTAGTGAAGGAGGGCCTGCGTGTACTTATAGAGGGACATTTAGGGAATACTTTGCTGAGGAACTTCCGTCAACGACGGCAATCTCTGCGAAGAAAAAAGGCCGAAGTGCGACATAGGCAAAATGTCTTTTTTTGCCCCCCCCCTGTATATATTTCCTCATCTCTAGCTTCCTGAAAACCAGTAGATTCGGGAGGTAGTGATGTGGAGCCCTATAGACAATCCATCAATGCTTGAAGTCCTAATTCAACTAACCCGTGAAATCCATTAACGCCATGAAACTTCCTACCAAAACCCCTCTCTCATGACAACAGCGCTGAGGGGGAGGAAAGAGTACGACAGGCATCTCCCGAAAGCTCAAATATTGCCCTCTTCACTGGCGTTTTACCCTTGAGCCTTTGCTTTGTCTACTTGAAAACAGCACTAAAATAACTTTAGCATTTATACCCTTCTTTCATTCGGACTTGTAATATCGAGACTTTCTTGTTGTCATACTGATTCCGGGACCATTTACGAATTTTCTGAGTGGTTACTCCAATGATCTTCGCTAGGCCGCAGGGTCCACCTGGTATATCAGCGTGCCCTTCGCTCAGCTACGGGCATCATCTGCCTGTGCCGCACTTCACTTACTCCTCATTGACTAACGTCCAAGCCGCGCCTCTTCTCGGACACCTCGGCGGTCGTTGCCTGCGCTTCAAAGTCCATTGCCTTCCCTAATATGTATAAGGCCCATCTGAATGAAAAGAACGAACATGATCTCAGAAACTGCACCTTAGTTCAACAGTGTTCAATAAAACTTCTGGAAGAGAACGCCCCTGTCTGTTTTAGCCTGGCATAACCTCCCTCTCGTTCATTATCCGCGTCGTCACGCCGTCCCCTGTTTTATCCACTGCTTGAAACCGGAAATTTATCGTTTCATTTGGCCCTGCTACACACCACTAATCCAGTGATTTATCCTAAAGATATCGACTGGGCGGCACGCAGCCCTCTATGTTAACCCTACAACCGACTAATCTACAGGTACTATGTTGGTTGACATCCTACTTACTATAAAGCGCTTCGTCTGTCGTCTGTCGTCTGTCTGTCGTTCTGTATGTCTGTCACGAAATTCCCTAGCTCCTCGGGATCCACCTGGAGGGACCGGGTCAAGTGTGGGATGGGTGGGCAAGGTCTCACGTAATACAAAACACACATCAGCTAAGCGGAGCCCCGCCCACAGAGGGCGTGGCGTGCGTCGAAATGAATTGTACCGAAGACCAAGATTTCGATTTCAGTGACAAAACGACCTCGAAACTGGGCCCAAAAAGTGGGTAACTGTTCTGGCAATCAATCGGGGGGGAATTAGGGAACCCACCCACTTTGCGGCGTTCTTAAACACATTGCTTATGAAAACTTCATAACTCGGTTGGAGAAACCTAACAACAGAGGAACAATTGGTGTAATGGGCGAGCACTGTCTAATGGAACATTTCTACAACCCTCATAATTCGGGTCGGGGAATCTTTAGAGAGTCGGAAAAAGTGACGGAGGTTGCGAGTGGACCTAAACATATGATCTGACGGCTTGCCCAAACTGAGAGTGCGACAAAAATTACATAACCCTCGGCTCCAAAAATCGCGAGCCACCGAAAATGTGAATAGAATGGGTGAAAATGAGCTCAAATACCCTTATTCGAGCAAGCCCTAGTGGCGGATAATCGAAACATCAAAATTGGGTTCCAAAATCCAGAACGGGAATACAAGTGATAAGGTTCAGCAAAGAAAGAGAATACTGCTACGGTTGGATGACGGTGCTAGTGGCAGCTTTTGCGTCCAAATTGAATAGCTTCAAAAAAGTCCCGGACAGGGAAAAGGATGGGTGATGAGGAGGAACCCAGCTAATAACCGTGAGTCGGGGGTTTGACAAAGTGGGCGAGTTGCGACAAATCAGACTCGGCTCCAAGAATCCTAGAGATAGGGGGGGACAATGGGTTAGAGGTGCGGAGAACAGAGATACTGTCCAAGGGTCCAGAAGTCGTTAAAAAGGTGCAGTCGGAAAGGGAGAGGCCAGATGCAATTTGGCGGAGCACGAACCAAAGTACGCTGCTACACAATATTTCCGGAGCAGTCATGAGACCCGGAACCAAGAGAATAAGTTGCGAAGAAAAAACGTTAAAGCCTTGATAGAGCGGATAGAATTTAGCTAAGAAATTCAGATATTCGTGGGTATTATCAAGCCAAATTCGGAAATTTTCGTCCGCACTCATCAAAATTCGCCGCAGATCTGTGCCGGCGCGCGCAATGCGTGCGAGCCAACTGGTATTTTATATGCGGCTCGATTCACAAGAAAATTCCTAATTGATCAACCCCTTTACGACGTGAATAGCGGATTACTATAAAAAGCCACGATGTGGTAAGAAAGCTCAAGATAAAACAGAAAAAAGAGAAACAAACATCAGAAAACCTTTGTCCGGCTTACTTTTGCGCAGTACAACATGGGCATATACCAATTTGCCAGGCACCATTTCACCAGCTCTACCATTATCATTCGTTTGCGTGACCAATCGAGGATGACAAGTCCTAAATATCGAAGACAGGACGTATTTTTTGAAATGAAGGCACGTGGTTGTGGAGAGCAAGTTGTTTTTAACGGGTATTTGGTAACTGTCGTCAAAAGCACTAGGACAAAAGTACCAGGAAACAAGCATGAAATGAACAAAATTAGAATATTCGTAATTTTCGAGGCATATCTCTCTCCCCCTTCCCCCTTCCTCGTTAGATTGAAATTTTTGAATAGAAAGTGGGCGGAGTTGAGCTGGTTGAGTGGTTTTGGTAGGACGAAGTTGACAAATTCATGGGTGACCCCTTCACGTGTTTGTCGTGGAGGAAAAAAATTGAAATTGGCCAATTAACACGTCTGACCCAGCCTTCCACTACAACCGCCGTTGGCAGGATGCCGCGCATTCTCCTGACCGGCGGTCGGTGTATTACTTTCGATAGGTGGCCAGATGTGGCTCTCCCGTTTGGGATACGTTCTATTCAATGCAGGGACCGCAAGTACTTCCTACTATCCGCTTTACTGGTTATTTGAGCGCAGGCTCCGCTGCAAATTATGAAAAATTTCAACTGAGTGCTCTCAGAAGTTATGCTTTTCATTATAAATGAGCCTTAGTAGTACCAATAGCTTACCATTTCGAATTCAGATCAGTCTTATCGGCAACGCAGTGAATATTTCGGTTGTCGTGCTGATTTATCGCACGCCGTCCTTCCACAATGCCTTCGGCATCATTTGTGCTTCGCATTTGATTGCAGACATTGGCGTTCTCGCAGTTTTCTCATTTTGGGCAGCTCCAGTTGCGTTGTTGTGAGTTTAAAATTCGCAGTGGGTGATTCTCAATATTTGTGGATCTCTTGCCAACTTCACCTTACCTTACATCTTTAACATTTTGTGGGCTTGGCCAAATAGGGTCGTATTTCTGGGAGACGAAAGAAAAGAACCTTTTGAGATAGTTGGAAGTTTTTTGCCAAGTAGAGGAATTTTGATTATTGGGCAGAAGTTCTCATATCAGCAATCATATGCGCGGACTGGGCAGAAAAGGTTTCTCATGATGCACATCAGAGAGATATCTTCGGGTATGGTTCAGCCGTCCACGGATCTCTTTCACTGAGGGTCCTCTCTCACTGAAAGATCTCGAGCCGGTTGGTGGCGAGGCTACGTGGCGCGACCCCAGGTGGCGGATAGGGGGTAAATCGCGGACCAAAAGCCACCATGTACTTGCCCTGAGACGCAGGTGGATTCAGGGGATGGACTCCCTGTTTCTGTAGTGCTGTGTTGATTCATACCAGCTGTCTCCACTCAGGCGCATCCATGCATGCTTGCGTGTGTGGTGCGCTCTGTGTGTGTGCGGTTGGTATCCTGCATGTCGGCACAGCCAAAAGCTTGCATTCAAGTGACTGGGAAGTACATGGGAGGCGATTCGGGGCCGCCTCCAAAAATAAGCCCCTTGTTCCGCTCCAGGATAGCGTGGCTAACTACCTGGAGGTCTATCCTAGCCCGCACGACAGAGCCTGGCAAGCTACTCGTGTGCCTTCAATATGCCGAAAACAGCAATATGGATGGGCCTCATTCCCCTGAACCTGAGGGAGCCCCCAATACGGCAGCGTTGGGTAGGACCGCTCGGGAGAGGCTGCTAGAATCTAGGAGGAAGTTATAGGAGGACTAAGATGGCGATCTGTACTTTCAACGCACGAACGCTTGCATCCGAAGCTCACATCGAAGATCTGATGATGCAGGCCAGGAAGATCAAGTACGACGTCATCGGACTGACCGAGACGAGAAGGCACCGCCCGCTACACGCCGTTTTCGATACTGGAGAAGAACTGTTCCTTGGAACATGCGACAGCAGAGGCGTTGGCGGTGTGGGTGTCCTCGTCAACACGCACTTGGCCATAAACATCGATTCGTACGAAAGCCTTACGACCCGAATCGGACGTTTGAGATTGAGAAGATGTGGTTCAACTCCTGCTTTGACAATCTTCGTCGCCTACGCACCAACATCCAGCTACGACGAAGAAGAACGAAGCATTCTATATGGAATTGGAGAAGTTCTACAGGGAAGATCATACCTTCTTCAAGGTCATCGTCGGCGACTTCAACGCTAAGATTGGCCCAAGAAGAACGGCTGAAGAACTTCACATCGGTACTCACGGAATGGAATGGAATGAGCAGGGTGAGAGACTGTCGGAGTTTATCATGTCGACCAACACCATCCATGGTAACTCACAGTTCCAAAAGCCCCCACCTTCGTTGGACTTGGGAGTCACCTGATGGACAGTTCCATAACGAGATAGACCACATCATCTTCAATCGAAGGTTTTGCCTGACCGACGTCGCTGTTGTTCCAAAGTTCTACACGGGATCGGACCATCGTCTCCTCCGCGCAAGATTCCACTTCTCGATGCGTGTTGAGAGAGCAGCAAAGTTCAGGAAGCGAAGCCCCAGGACAGTCATCAACTGGGACCACTTCGCTTCCCTCGTCAGCTTATGGGAGGATTCCGTTATCGAGAACATCGACGAGGAATATCATCGGCTCGTTGAACACCTTCACGAGAGTGGCAGGAAGGCAGAGAGTTTGCAAGTCACCAAAGGACGTCTGTCTACCGGAAACTCTCGAGCTGATACGCCAGCGTGGAGCCGCACGAGCTGCAGGCAATCACCGACTCACGTCCGAGCTTGCGAAGCTATGCAGAGAGGCGATAAAGGAAGATCTCAAGGAGCGAAGAGCAGCAGTATTAGCTGAAGCAGCAGAGGCTGGGAGGAGCATCCGCAATGCCCGCCGAAGCTTTGCCAGCTACAAGACCAAGATGACCTGCCTCCGACGTCCGGATGGAACAGTTACTGCATCCCGAAGGGCAATGGAGAAAGTCATCCACGACTTCTACTCGGATCTCTTCGATAGCCATGTCCATCTGCCCACTTATCAACTGCAACAGGATGGATACGTCGTCCCCTCAGTACTCTCTTCCGAAGTCCGACACGCCATCAAGTCGGTGAAGAATCGTACAGCACCCGGTCTCGACAGGGTCAAACCGGAACATCTGAAGAATGCGCCGCCAGTTATCATCAAAACTCTGGCTCGACTCTTCACGCGCTACCTGTCGGAATGCAAGGTACCCACTCCGTGGAAAACCAGCAGGACCGTGTTGCTGTACAAGAAGGGAGACCTGGACGACATTGGCAATTATCGCCCAATCTGCTGTGCTGTAATCTATAAACTATTCACTCGAGTCATCCTCAACAGGATCGGCAGAATACTGGATGAAGGACAGCCATGCGAGCAAGCAGGGTTTCGAAGAGGGTTCAGCACGATCGACCATATCCACACGGTTACAAGACTCATTGAAGTTTCACGAGAGTACAAGATGCCGCTTTGTCTCACGTTCATCGACTTGAAGAAGGCCTTCGACTCTGTGGAGACAGAAGCGGTCATCGAAGCCTTGGGCAACCAGGGCGTCCCTACTCAGTACATCAAGATTCTTCGTGAGCTCTACAGCAACTTTACGACCAGGATCTCACCATTCTACAAGGAGGTCATCATCGACGTCAAGAGAGGGGTCGACAGGGCGACACCATCTCGCCCAAACTCTTCAGCGCCGCTCTCGAGAACGTCATGCGTCAACTGGAATGGGAAGACATGGGAGTGAAGGTCGACGGCCGGCAACTACACCACCTTCGTTTTGCTGACGACATCGTTCTTATAACGCCGAACATCGAGCAAGCGGAGCGAATGCTGGCTGATTTCGACTGCGCCTGTGGTAAGGTTGGTCTACAGCTGAACCTAACGAAGACGATGTTTATGAGAAACGGATTGGTTCCTGATGCCCCATTCACGCTCAACGGAACGAACATCACCGAATGCTCCAGCTACGTGTACCTAGGTCGGGAAATCAATATGATGAACGATCTAGCTCCAGAGCTGAGCAGGAGGAAACGAGCGGCTTGGGGAGCGTATAAGAACATCGAGGGAGTAGTGAAGAAGACGAAGAACATCCGGCTCCGTGCCCACCTCTTCGATTCCGCTGTCCTTCCTGCCCTAACCTACGCCTCAGAGACTTGGACTCTGCGCAGGCAGGACGAGCATGCGGTCAGCGTTATCCAACGCGCTGTCGAGAGGACGATGCTAGGAGTAACCCTATACACGCAAGTGCAGAGGGGAATCCGGAGTGCCGAACTACGCCAACGATCGAAGATCAGGGACGCTGCCGTTTTCGCCAAGGAATCGAAGATAAGGTGGGCCGGACACGTCATGCGATTTTGCGATGACCGTTGGACCAGAGCGGTTACCGACTGGATCCCTCGGGACGTCAAACGAACACCTGGACGACCGCCGGCCCGATGGTCAGACTTCTTCACGAAAGCTCTGAACGAAAGGAATGATGGACTTCGTGTCCCTCGAGCAAGGAGGATCCACTGGACCACTCTAGCACGCGACAGGGACGAATGGAGACGTTGCTGGCGCCCGCTCGAGCAAATCGACGATCAACGGGACGACAGGTGATACAGGTGATGGTTCAGCCGTTGATGGAACTGTGCGACAAAGTATTCCTTGGATTTTCGCCTCCCACCTTACCTACAAGCAGAAGCACGCCCTCCTTCACAGCCCTCACGGTCTCTAGGATATGGTTGTGCGCCATGGAGCTCAAATTCGTAACGTAATAGCGTAACTGTTTCGGCCGGCAACTACCCAATTTTTTTCCATTTCACTGGTGTACAACTTTCTGGGAACAAATTTGCCTACGGCTTCCAACTAGAATTTCAGAGAGCGCTATAATGGCCCATGATCTGTGAGGGAACATGCCGATGACGAGCCTTGCTGTCGTGGCTGTCTTTCTCTGTGAATTTAATGCATTTAGGGGCTCTCCTGATTCGCTAGTTCACTCTTTTGTTGGTGCGAGAATGGGCCAACTTGCTATACTTCTGTGGTATGCATCCACATATGGACACATACAGGTCGCTGTCAACCGTCTCCTGGCAATAAAGTACCCAACTTTATACGGGTGAGTTTTTCGAGTGACATCTGTAATGAATATTTTATTGGCGCAAATCTATTCCATTCTGACACCGACGTCTAACACGCAACACAAATGTGGTATACTGTAAAGTGGCGACACCTTATACGGCTCAGATCCCACCTCAAATCTTGACCATACCCATAAAGTAATCTCTAATAGCGTTCGTATACCAGCACTTTTGCTTAGGGCTTTATTGACCCTAGCGAGGAAAAGAAGACTATTGTAGGGAACGAACGCCAGCCAGGTGCAGCGGAGTTTTCTGTATTCCGTTACGATACGATACCAAAGCTGTATAAGGAGTGGCGTCTTTCTGATGCATCTGGTGAACTATGAAAAACCTCACAGTCGATCAAAATCAACAAATTTTGCACCTCGAAAGTTTACAGTGTATGCGTGATAGTCTACCGAGACATGGCTCATCAGATCTACTTCAAAGAACGAGCTTTCTTTTATAATCTTATTACAGATCAGTGTTCTCGAAACGACGAACTAAACAAATGCTGGCAGTGTTTTGGCTGATTGCTACAGCTAACGTGATCGCCTACTTTTGGGGTAAATTTTGTTTTTTTCCACTACTCAATGAACCGCTAAATGGATGAAGATAAAGCATTTTTCGTTGATCATTCCCTTGCTGGGATGCGACACACATTTACTACTGTACTGTAATTTGTACATTCGTAATTGAATGCGAATGGCCTGTAAATTGACCTACGGGGTCCTGGCGATGTGCAGGTCAACATTTTTCTATTCTCTTTGCTAACCTTATTGCCAACTGAACAACCGCACAAGGATGGAAGACTTAGTTGGCCTGGACGATGCTCGACTCAGGATTCGATCCCGGACTGCGTGCAGGGTAAGCAGCGTCATCGCTACACCACTTCCACCCGAATTGTTAAATAAGACAGTGTATTTCTAGGCTTACTTTTGCAACATAGTTGTAGTCAACCTGTTAACAGCTTTTCCTTTTCCACGTCTCATGGCTCATCGCATCAACTCCTTGAGAGGTTGTAAGCCGTGTTCTCAGTCAGAGGATTTTAGTGGATCCTCTTTGCTAGAAAAATGATTCTCAGTATCTCATTTCTTTCCCGGAACTTTTGTGGAGAAATCTGACCATTGACCGAAAAACTTTCTGAATGGCCTACTACTACTTGGTACTACTGGACGCACCTTCGAAATTTGTAAACTTCAATGAAAGCACGACAAAGGTACTCATCACTTCAAAAATATGGTATCATCTTTGATCACAAGCCACTCGAAGGGATCGTCCACATTAAGTCTTTGCATTGTCCAATTTTTGCAAAAATATGTCGATTGTGATCACAAGAGACGGCGTGCAAAGTTTTACGCTATAAGTATCAGTATCAAGTGAAACACTTCCGAAAAAACCCTTTATGGACGGACGAAGGTAGGCCGCGTGGCGCCAAAGGCGGAGCATGGAAAGAAGTGCTCCCCGGGGCGGCCACGTATCAGGCGACGCAACGAAAGAATCGGGTTAAAGCGTTGCTACCCGGAGAATGGAGAAAACGATTGATGAATAGGATGCAGTAGAAAAAAATGTTATCGTCCTAAGTGGAAAGGCCGAAAAGTGTTCATAGCGTAGACATTCTAAGAACCCATTAGAATTGTATCCGTCGCCACGTTCGTGATAGATGTACTGCGATACTTTGAGCGCGTAACAGTCTTTCAAGTTTTCCAAATTGCGTACGAAATTAAACACAGTTTTTTGTCCTTGTAGTCGTTATCGTGAATGATGGCCTCAGGCCAATGATTTTCGGTAAGGTAGGTTCATGATTTTTCCATGGTCGAATACTTCAAGAAGTATCAGCAAAAGATATCTGAGATGAGACATTCATGGCAATTTTTCCAGATGATTGTGACTTCATGTTCGATCTTCACTCGTTAACGTGGTTATACGCTGCGACCTATTGCGGCTACATTATCTCATTTTACATGACCTTAGTGCATGAATCGGCTTTGTGTGCTATAGTCATCCTCATCGACACTATTGCATTTCTAGCCATATACAAGAAAGCAAAGGTAAGTGAATGATCATTTTGCTATTGTGTCATTGCCATTTCGGAGGGAATTCCTCTTGGCACCGTTGCCTAAAAAATTCCAGATATTTTCAGAGCAAATCAAAATCGTTTGATGAGACGAAAATGCTCAGGAAAAACACTAATCTTTATGCACAGGTGGGTCTATTTCTTAAGAGCTCTGAATGGAAGGTTCCGTAAAAACGCCACACTTGCTCGTGACAGAATTTTGCCTGTACTATTACTACTCCGATTCCTTTTTCGTTGAGTACCTCGTCAAGCGCCGAAACCCACCCTTCCTGTGTAACCTTCGCGTTCCTTTTTTCTCCTTATCCTTCCCTCCTCCCTCCACTGCTCTTCAGTTACCACTTCAGTTGGGATCTCATCACAATCATGCCATTGCAAAACATTGATTGGTAAGCTTTGCGACGTATTCAAACTTGTTAGCGGCCTATGTATTCCATCACGTGCCTTATCACTCACTTCCACGGACCTCTTTCAGTGAGGGTCCTCTTTCACTGAAAGATCCCTAGCCGATTAGTGGCGAAGCTACGCGGTGCGATCCCAAGTGGCGGAAAGGAGGTAAATCTGAGACGCAGATGGATTCAGGGGATAGACCTCCTGTCTTCTGTAGTGCTGTGTCGATTCATACCAGCTGTCTCCACTCAGGCGCATCCATGCATGCTTGCGTGTGGTGCGCTCTGTGTGTGTGCGGTTGGTATCCTGCATGTCGGCACAGCCAAAAGCTTGCATTCAAGTGACTGGGAAGTACATGGGAGGCGATTCGGGGCCGCCTCCAAAAACTAAGCCCCTTGTTTCCGCTCCAGGATAGCGTGGCTAACTACCTGGAGGTCTATCCTAGCCCGCACGACAGAGCCTGGCAAGCTACTCGTGTGCCTTCAATATGCCGAAAACAGCAATATGGATGGGCCTCATTCCCCTGAACCTGAGGGAGCCCCAATAGCCCCCTCTCTTGAGCGGTACTACCGGTAGCGGCAGATAGAACCGTTCGGGAGAGGCTATTAGGGCCTAAACGAAGAAGGACTAAGATGGCGATCTGTACTTTCAACGCACGAACGCTTGCATCCGAAGCTCACATCGAAGATCTGATGATGCAGGCCAGGAAGATCAAGTACGACGTCATCGGACTGACCGAGACGAGAAGGCACCGCCCGCTACACGCCGTTTTCGATACTGGAGAAGAACTGTTCCTTGGAACATGCGACAGCAGAGGCGTTGGCGGTGTGGGTGTCCTCGTCAACACGCACTTGGCCATAAACATCGATTCGTACGAAAGCCTTACGACCCGAATCGGACGTTTGAGATTGAGAAGATGTGGTTCAACTCCTGCTTTGACAATCTTCGTCGCCTACGCACCAACATCCAGCTACGACGAAGAAGGAACACGAAGCATTTATATGGAATTGGAGAAGTTCTACAGGGAAGATCATACCTTCTTCAAGGTCATCGTCGGCGACTTCAACGCCAAGATTGGCCCAAGAAGAACGGCTGAAGAACTTCACATCGGTACTCACGGAATGGATTGGAATGAGCAGGGCGAAAGACTGTCTGAGTTTATCATGTCGACCAACACCATCCATGGTAACTCAGTTCCCTCTCACCTTCGTTGGACTTGGGAGTCACCTGATGGACAGTTCCATAACGAGATAGACCACATCATCTTCAATCGAAGGTTTTGCCTGACCGACGTCGCTGTTGTTCCAAAGTTCTACACGGGATCGGACCATCGTCTCCTCCGCGCAAGATTCCACTTCTCGATGCGTGTTGAGAGAGCAGCAAAGTTCAGGAAGCGAAGCCCCAGGACAGTCATCAACTGGGACCACTTCGCTTCCCTCGTCAGCTTATGGGAGGATTCCGTCATCGAAAACATCGACGAGGAGTACTATCGGCTCGTTGAACATCTTCACGATTGTGGCAGGAAGGCAGAGAGTTTGAAAGTCACCAAGGGACGTCTGTCTCCGGAAACTCTCGAACTGATACGCCAGCGTGGAGCCGCACGAGCTGCAGGCAATCACCGACTCACGTCCGAGCTTGCGAAGCTATGCAGAGAGGCGATAAAGGAAGATCTCAAGGAGCGAAGAGCAGCAGTATTAGCTGAAGCAGCAGAGGCTGGGAGGAGCATCCGCAATGCCCGCCGAAGCTTTGCCAGCTACAAGACCAAGATGACCTGCCTCCGACGTCCGGATGGAACAGTTACTGCATCCCGAAGGGCAATGGAGAAAGTCATCCACGACTTCTACTCGGATCTCTTCGATAGCCATGTCCATCTGCCTACTTATCAACTGCAACAGGATGGATACGTTGTCCCCTCAGTTCTCTCTTCCGAAGTCCGACACGCCATCAAGTCGGTGAAGAATCGTACAGCACTAATGCAGCTGAACTTAACGAAGACGATGTTTATAAGAAACGGATTGGTTCCTGATGCCCCATTCACGCTCAACGAACGGAACATCACCGAATGCTCCAGCTACGTGTACCTAGGTCGGGAAATCAACTTGACGAACGACTTAGCTTCAGAGCTGAGCAGGAAAAATCGAGCGGTATGGGGAGCGTTTAAAGCAACAATCCAGGAACGAATTCGCGGGTAAGGACCACCTATAATGACGTTGCAGGTGAGAAGTTGGTCAATGGAGAAAGAAAAAGTAGAAAAAACGTCGGGCAGGGGCTTAGACAGGGACTCCCCCCTGCCGTTTAGCGATGGGGGAGACGTGTGTTGGACGAGTTGTCCGAACCTGCCCGTAGTACATGCGCTCCAATTGCAACTGCTGGCAAATAGCCATGCATGCTTGCAAATACATAACTATTTGCCAGCAATCGAAATTGAAGCGCTTCAATTGGTTCTTATGGAATCGACCTCATACAGCGCGGCGGTCCCGCAACGACCGCTAGTCGAGCAAGCGCTCTGCACAGCTGCTTGGAGGCGGCCCCACCACGGATCGGTGGATCCGCCCCTCTTGAAGGATTTCGACTGCTTCCAACGCCTTTCAGAGGTAAGTTTTGAAGTTTGTGACATTTCCCATGAACTCCAATCAGGCTGAGGCATGTTTCCACCACTTGAAAACCAAATGGTTGAAACCCTGCCTGGACTGTTGCTTTAATGAGAACATCGAGGGAGTAGTGAAGAAGACGAAGAACATCCGGCTCCGTGCCCACCTCTTTGATTCCCGCAGTCCTTCCTGCCTTAACTTACGCCTCATGGACTTGTACTCTGCGCAGGCAGGACGAGCATACAGTCAGCGTTATCCAAGAGGACGATGCTTGGACTAACCGTATACACGCAAGTGCAGAGAGGAAATAACGAGCTCCGAACCCAAGCGCACGCTAATCGATCGAAGATGGTCGACGATCGGATGGGAGTTTAGTGGGTATAGTGTGATAGAGGGAGCGACTGACTAGTCGGCCGTTAAAAGAGTTTCTCGCTCACGCGCACTGGTCGCGGTCGAGAAGTGTAAGCGCGAAGTCGTAAAGACGAGTGTAGGTCATCAAAGTACCAAACGATGGATTGATGAGCACTTGTGCGAGCCGATTGATACCCAAAGCGCTTGCGGGTCGTTAGCACAAGAACACTGGGCCTCATCATATACACGGACGCGCGTGAATCCTGAGCCTGGATAAGGACCCTAAGTGTAATCTTAGTTTGGTTACTGGGAATGTAGTGGTATTTTCGATCACAGCAAGTTTCAACAACACTGAACTGACTTCACGTGAGGAATTGCCGGGGAACTAAAAGAAGGAAGATTTGTTACGAGGTATATATTGTGGACTCAGCACACAATTGTTTTATGCGCATGGAGAGCGATATGAACCACAGCCACTGATGTCTATAAGGGAGGAAATGGTGGATCACGAACATGCCGCAACAGCTTATGCTTCGCAAGAGGTAAGTATGGGCCCACGTCAGAAACTGCAAGAGGTAAGTATGGGCCCACGTCAGAAACTGAAAATGCAGAAACTATCAGAATTATAAGGCAAAGGCGAATCCGAAGCTTAAACAGTGGCACAGTGAACAATTTTGAAGACCGCGTGCTCTTCCCAGTTTAGAGCAATTCGAGTGTGAGTACTGGAGATACTGGACTTATCCACTCTTGGCGAGAATAAGAACAGGAGGTAATGCACCCAGGGCCATCGTTCAACACGGTTATTTTGATACCCTAGGGTGGTGTGGGGAGGCATAAAGTTGACCGGTCGTGTTCTGCACCGTCCGTGACTCCCTGCACGGCTTTTTCCTGATCCTAGAGTCATCATGAGGGCGGGTTGTGAATAGCTCGCCTCTTGTGAGTTTATTTTAGCGGTGCGTTTGATGCTAACTCTAGTTAGTATGGAGGGCAATGTGCGAGCGCATTGAGGAGCTTAAGTGGAAAATTCTTTGGAAGCTAGTTTTCAGCGACTGATTGAGTCTGTCCGCTTCCCCCACTCAATTCCTGTAAAGCACGTGTTCGCATGCAGTCAGGAGAGCTACAGTAGCACCCCTTCGTGCGGCAATAGTCCTTAGCAATTGCTACTCGGGATGCTCGTAGGATGGAACGCTTCTCCACAAGAACTCTTGACCAACATTGCGGCCATTGGGAGCACGTAGCAGAGCATGCTTTGCAGTCCGTAGTGTTCATACACCCCATCAAGAACCAGCTCCTCTCTTTTGAATGTCTACCATGAGTTGGAGTAGCCTCACCTATCAACCGCTTCAGACACTGTCTTTGCAAAAAAGTGTTTTTTTCCAATCGTTCCCTTTGCGTGTTTCTATTAGTAACCCTCTGCACTATGCTATAACATTTCCTTCCATGTGTGTCCCAAGTTTCGCCGACCTAGGTTAGCTAGCAATGAAATCACACGAAAGTTACTCTCGTCCTTTGAAGCTTTGCACACCAGTGTGTTATATTAGGTTGGCCCATGAGTCTAGCAACAAATTACATTCATTGCATTCAATGCTAGAGAACTCCAATTTCTTCGTTTAAATTCCGAAAAATAATTTTTGCTCCTTGAATTTCGTGCCCTCAACTTTCACGAGAACTGCTTGGAATGTTCCGCAAGTCATGCTACACCAAGGATTAGCCAGAAGATGGGCGAGGGCACGCTCTCTCAAACACGGTGCAACGGCGCTTCACTCTGCTCAGCGTTGACTTTTTTATTTGAAGATAACCCACACTCCAACCACCCTGTGACTGACAATCACGATGCTCTAC